CAAAGACAGGACCAGTGCACCTACTCATGAAAGCTACGATAAAGTCCGTGCAGAGATTTTAGTGAGAATTGAGCGGTTAGCCAAAACTGTACTTAATGTCAAGAACCTTATCAAAGCTGTGAATGAGCACGCTATAAGCATATTTATTACATCGAAGCGAGAACGATAAGTACAACAAATCTGAGCGCGAGACAAGTACTGCCGGAGTTCAGGAATGCTATCCAGCGCCAGAACCAATAAAGCGAAAACAAAACTGTCCTCCACATTTTTATTTATTTATTTATAGTTTGCGGATTGTTTAAATTACAAGAAAAGATTATTCGCACAACTTCTTTCCAAATAATATTTTCATCAGAAATTACACAAAATTACTCGTTTATAAGTGGCTAGAAGTTAAAAAATTCTATTCTTATAGTTGTTTGACGGAATAATTCTGAACAGTTTTTTTTTCTCAGGTGAGTTTTTGTCAGCTTGTGTTTATTATCCACTTTTTCCTTAGTTCTTTCCCACTTCACGCAGTTGTTGTGACGTGGATACAAATTTTCTCTTGTTTGAATCTGATCCACGGTTTCCTGGTTCTTTAGTTATACCTACGGCTGAAAATATTGTTGTTTTATTATATATCATTAGTTTTACGCTATTATTCGTCTAACGTTGGATATCCTCAATTTTTTCATAAACTATTGTCTTTTCAAACATTGAAAATATTATTTTTTGTTCCATAGAGATTGTAAATTTTTTGCAACAAGGAATTCGGAAAATAACGTGAATTACAATTTTCCTCAATTGCAGCTGTATGGATCTGATCGCATTCTCGAGTTTTCTGAACTGAATCAATCTGTAATTAGCTTACCAAAGTGTCATTCAACTAATGCAAAACGTATATTATGACGTAAAGAAGAGTTTTTCTCATTTTCTAGCATTAATACATATTCGAAGTGTAAAACTCAACGACAGAAACTTGGTCAAATTAATTAAGCCAGTTAATTCCTAAATGAAAGCCTTGGCACTACTCGATATTTTCAGTTCTCAGTTTATCGACTAATTATATCGAATTGGTTTAAAACTAATCCACACAAAAGAAAAATTATAATTACTGATTCGTCATTGTCGTCTTCGCTATTTTCACTTGAAACTTCGTCCGATTTATCGTCTGAATTCTTTTGTATATATTCTTCCTTGTCACATTCGACTGAAATCATAACAAGTTGTATTTTATCAGATTAAATGTTAAAATTTCCATAATTTTTGGACGTAATCCTTGGATGAATTGTCATAATAAATAGAACTTGATTGCTTTGCATGTTTTCATTCTGAAATATTCAAAACCGAATCTTTCTCGTTGATGTGCAACGCTGAATTTAAATAATTCGTACTTGTAATGAATGGTATTGCTGAAAGTTAGTTAGTTACCTTTGGTGATGCCTGCATCTTTTGTCTTTTCGACCTTAAAATCAGATTAAATTTGTGAGCTTCCAACGAAAATTGTGATTATGCAAGTCAAATTTTAACATTTGAGCATGATATAGCGAAAAAAAGATGAATTCGCACTTCGGATGTTTCAGAATTAAGTGATTAATCGCAAAGTGCTGGGAAAGTTTTGTATTAATTGTATGTTTTATGAATATTAAAGACGACAAATGCAAATTTTTGCCAAATTATTGTGTTACTTTTTCACAGTTGTTAAAAGCAAACAAATCGCCTTCTGTGAAAATTCAGATACTTTTCTCAAAAAGGTCAGGGAAAATTTTTATTTCTAATCACGTTTCTCAGTTGAAGAAACCTTCAGCGGTTCAAGTTCCGATTCTTGAGCCGTTTTATTTTCGAACTTTTCGAACTTGGAGGATGTTAGCTGTGTATTATGTACTGCAAGCAGTTCCTGAACCTCAAAGGTGTTAATCTTTTTTGGAGCTGTCTTCTTTTCCTGATATATTGCGATTTTCTGAGGTATCGATTCTGTGGCCTGTACTGGTAGGTTTCCGTGCACTTTAGTTGCATCCAACTTCTGAAATGGGTAGGCGTCGTTATTCTGTGGCATGTTTTGTTCTTTTACTTTTCGTAATTTTGGTTCTTTTTCATTACTTACACTTGTTCCATCAGTTTTTTGGTTGTGTCGCACATCGACTTCTGGCATTTGATCTGCATCATATAGATTGATCTTTCTGGCACCTGATGTGGTCTCCTCTGGCAAAAGGCACGTCTTCTCCATCTTTTCCAGTACGCATGTTTTCGGCTCCTGCATGTCATATTCGCAATAAGCAATAGTCGTGCCATCAGCAGGTGGTGGGATCACTTCAGGCGGCATGAATTTCCCAACATAGCATTCACGCAAAAGTTTTGTATATTTTGAGTATTCGTTACAGAATCCTTCAAAAATATTCACTGCTCTTTATTTGTTCTTATTTATACAAACTACGTCTTGTTTGCTGTGTTCAAATCTTTCAAAATTGCAGTCAAGCAGACAAAAAAGTCATTCATTCGTGCGTAAAAAATGAATGTATTGGGAAAAGAAAGAATCCAAATGAAATATCTGATTACCTGATATATCCTTTGAAGTGTATACTTTTTTAGCGTATAGCAATCGGACCACAACATAGTGCGAATAAGCGTACTGATCTTCAGTTTGCACTGCCCCTGCCCTATTTGCACGTAACGTCTGCATGTAATCATTCGAATTCGGAAAGCTGCCCCGCTTCAGACTACTGTAATAAGCTCTATGTGAATATACTAAATTCTGAAGGGAAATGCATAATAAATCGAAATTTTACACTACGACTGATAATATTGCCAGCGAAATTACAACCACGAAAACATGAACTGACTTGCATTACCTTAAAATCATCTCCACTAGGACAAGAGTTCCCGTTCGACCGATGCCGGCTGAGCAGTGGACAACAACTGGCCTTTTCTGCTCTCTTGCTGACTGTAGGAGGGAAAATGGTACCATGACAGTTGTCGGTGCACCATGATCTGGCCATGTGGTCCAATGTCGGTGATAAAGAATGCGACTCTCATTTTCACCTAGAAAGTAATTAGTTAGTAAAATATTAGTTTTGGAATAGTATTATAAACAGTGAAATATTAT